CTCCCGTACCTTTTTGTTCCTTTGTCTCCCGACTCCCGCCCTTTATTGTATTTTTCCCGTCATCATGTAAATTAAAAAGATCAGAAGCCCGGGTTTAGTGTTAAAGCTGTAGGGTAATTTCCCAAAGATGAAAATTGTTACAAGTCAGTTTTCTTAGTTAAACTGAGTTTTCACTAACCTGGTTATCTAGGTTTGACCACCGCTTCTGACATCCCACTACAGCGACAATACTCTCAGTCCACTGTGCATTGTAATAGCTATTGCCGTTATCAAAGATGCATTAACATGCATTTAGGAATCCCGAAATTACGGGGATCATGCCAAAATGAAGTCGAAGGGCCAAACGTTACGGTAGAGTTTAGTACTCCTGTCTAGTTCCCAGCGTCTAATTGTACTAATTGCATATCCACCGCGGTTAGTTTTCGTTATTTTTCGTAAGTAGTCGTAAGCTATAAAAACTGACTTCAACGAGACAATAATTGCATGTTCGTTAACCGTTTGCATTTTAAAGCGTTCAGTTTAGTGCTGGTGGAGTATTATTGTTTGCTGGTTATCAAATCTTAAACCTATTCATATTTGCTCGAGAAGTTGTATCTTTCATCAAACATCGGCGGGGAGGTTTAACGGTTATAGATACATTTTTACATCGGAATGATGCATCTATGTCCGATTTTAATAAGAAGCATTTGAAGAAACGAATGCCCTGCTCTTCTTGGCTTATTATAAGTTAAATAACAGGACAGGGAACAGGTTGCAATATGTGTAAAAAGTGCCCGTATTTTGCTACAGTAAACAAACTAGAAAAAGTCTTCCATGCGCCGAGGAGGTCGCACTGATCTCCTCCTACTCCAAATGTTAGTTAGAGCAGTAGAGTCTGTCTCCTCTTCCTCCGAGTCGAGGGAACTTTCTAGATTTTCTTCATTTACATTGGCTTCCAGATCACATTCGCCTCGACAGTCAGACAGAATCTTACAGAATGTTTCTTCAGTTACTTCCAAACGGCTATCAAATAATCGCATTGCATCTTTGCTTATTTCGCAAATAATGTTACTCTTCTTGCATAGTGCTTTTTCGCCAGACGTTTGAAAGATAAAAGAACTTCCATCGATGATAACATAATTAGTACCAACGATATCATTTGCGTCTATCTTGCTTGAAATAAAAACTGAAAAAAAGTTGGATTTGCTTCTGATTGCATAAATTCCAGTATGTGGTGCCTGATGAGTGTTGAGATCGCTTTGATTTCCATTTCCAGGCTCGGTCACGGGCTCTTCGTCGCAGCTACTGCTATTCCCTGGAGGATTCGTTGGTGTATCTGCTTCCTTTGCAGAACTGACAGCCTTAAATAGCTCTTGCATTGATGTTAGAGCTTGTTCTTCAGCATTTTTGTATGACTCTTCCGACTCTTCCGACATGTACATGTAAAAGGGGAGAGTACCGGCTTTGTCTTTCGTGAAAGAATTTCGGACCGACTGTTGCCTAACCCCTCGTCCAAACTCATTTCTCCAATCGTTAAGACGTTTGATGTCCTCCTTATTCAGGAACGTAGTTGGTTCTTGTGGCACTGGGAGCAAATCTTCATACTTTATTGAAAAGTGTGATGGTAACTCGTAGTGCTGTTTCTCCCGAGTAAAGCAAATATATCCAGGCCAGGCAATTCTCTTTAAGGTCTCATCCGCAGCCTCCACGAAGTTCATCGCACAATCTAGCACGGTGGGTGTGTCTGTTACTTGTCGCAATTCGCTGTTAAAATACTCATTGACAAGTGTGAGGAATGTTCTTACATCGGCAACTTCGAGTAGATGTGCACATTCTTCACTAAATCGGGTCCGAAGGCGACGAAGGAAGTTCTTGATGAAAGTTACTGAAGCTACTGTCTTTTCGGCTGGGGTTCCTTGCGGCCCTTGCATGACTCCTGAAACTTTGAACTTGGCCTTGGCATTTTGAAGCATTTGCGTTAACGTTTTCTCGGCTTTCTCAACGCGTTGTTCGGCTTTCAATAGTGATGGCAGCTCCGCATGACCAAGAATGTCAGAATGGATATAGAACGCACGGTAGATGTCTTCCATTATTCTGATGTATTTTATTAAAGCCGATATCTTGGTGATAAGCCTGACACTTTTGCTGCCTGTGTCAACGAAAAATATTGTTCCGTTCTCAGTAGTTATCCCCGTTGGGTGGGACACTCTTGCTACACTGTAATTTTTAGGGAGTTATTATAACTCCAAAAATGGAGTAAAAATTTTAGGTACAGGATAACCCCTTTTTTGGGGTTATTTTAACTCCTAATTTAACTCCGAATTTGGGGTCATTTTTACTCCTGAAAAAGAGTTCTTTTTACTCCCAGTCTTGGAGTTAAAATTACTCCGAAATGGGGTTACTTGTACTCCTTACAGGGGTTGTTTTTACTCTTTTTGGAGTTAATTTAACTCTGAAAGTGGAGTAAAAATTTTAGGTACAGGATAACTCCTTTTTTGGGGTTATTTTAACTCCTCAATATCTGGGGTCACTTTTACTCCTGAAAAAGAGTTCTTTAAACTCCTTTTTGGAGTTAAAATAACTCCACGAAAAATAACTCCACTGTAAGGAGTTAAATTAGCCCCACTAGAGGAGTTATTATAACTCCCTGAAAATTACAGTGTACACCAATGAGTCCATCCTCTGTTCCATTTGTGCCATTACCAATGATTGTGTCGACTTTCTGGACTACCTTCGTTCCATCTAAGACAGATGCTTCAAGAGAAAACCGTTTCAACGTGTGTGATTTGGTGTCTGTGAAAATAACTGAATGACCACTCAAACTCACTCCGTGAATCTGGGAACACAAGGTACTTCCGTTTTTCAAGAGTTGTTGTGTTGTGCCATCTTCCAGGTTAATTACGAGAAGGCCCCCAAATATTCCGGAATCAGCAAGCAACAGCTTCTGCTGTCCCTCAATGACACATAATCCGGTTGGATTGACGTTATCTTTTAAGTTCATGACCGTTCGTACGTGACACTCTAGCTTAAAATCAGCTTTCTCAACTCTTATACTTCTACTAGTCTCTTGGTTTCAGTATCAGCAATGAATAGAATTTCATCAGCAAAGCTTGTCACTGCCACTGGTGTTTTCACGCATGGTTCCAGATCCAACTTTGTTCCCTTGCTAGTCACACTTTTCTTATTACTCTGCAGGAATTGATTTATGGCGGACTTCAACTCTTCTCGGCTATGATTTTTGGCATGTTGGTGATCAACGTGTACTTTATGTCTTGCGACAAATGCTTCCATGTCAGCCTTTTTCATTGTCGCAACCTTAACTTGCAACTTTGAATGCAGGTCTAGGCAGTAAACGTTTCCCATTCTTTCAGCAACAATAACAGTTCCGTGTACCATTGCCACTGCTATAGGATTGGTGTAACCAGTCGCTACCACCTTCACTACCGCTGGATAATGAAGACGAACTTCTGCCAGAGTTCCTTTCTGGCTATCTACTACATACAATTTGCTCATATCCTCGGTGTCTTTCACCAGGTCGACTGGAAGTTTGAAGATGTTAGCTTTATTATCATCCGTGTGTCGGTGTTTTTCTGGTACTAGCGTGTACACAATATTATCACATCGACTTTGAATGGATTCTAATACAGACAGACATCGTTCACTACAGATTTCTGCGACTGATTCAGTTGACATCTTATCTCGGTGTCTCACGGATTCTAGTGTGATTGCTTGCCTCAGGTCCCTCCCACTCTCTGATTTGTAGTCTTGGCGAAGAGTGCGCAACATTACCAAGTTCACACGAAAGTCATCAATTACAAGCCACCAGTTAGCTAGGCTTCCCTTTAGACATTTTCCAACATGAACTGCATCTGGAGTTCCCTCTGTAAGGCGTAGGTTCGATTGTCGATGCTCCGCTTCAGCTTCCTTTCTTGAGTGCATAATTTCTAAAGCTGTTTTGTTTTTTTGCTCACAGTCTGATGAATAACTGGTTATCACAAACTTCACACACTTTTTGCCATCAGATACGCATTTTCCACAAGGGCGGAGCTGGGGTTCAATGCTTTGAAAGCCATTTTCCTTGCACGTAGTACAAACTTCCTTTTCTTCAAGGCAACACTCACAGCGAGACGTACAGTCACAATTGTAAATTAAGATTGAATTACTCAACTTTGACTGAGCTTCAAGACAGGTAAGACAGGTTTGTAAATGTCCAGCAATTTCTTCTACTTCAGCCAGCACTTCCTCTCCAGTTTGACCTGCGGCTTCGTAATAAACCCCAATGGGAAGACTGATCTTTCTGTCTACAGTCGTAACAACGGAAATGTCTGCATCTTTAATCATACTTTGTTTTAGTTCCGAAGGATTTGGTGCAGGATTCTTTCTTACATAATCAATATCTATCTTTTTTGTTGAACCAACAAGAACCTTCTTTCTTTCATCGAATTCGAGGCTAGGTTTAAGGCCAAGACCATCTCTCGTCAAGGAAATTGCAATTGCTTTGATGGTAGAACTATTGACATAGCAACATGCATTTTGTGAATCGGCGATCCTCAGAATGGACATAAGGAGGTTTCTAATAATGCCACTTGCAGTAGTAAAGCCAGGTTTGTTGCGACGCACTGTTGGTTTGCTTGGCAAAGGAATTCCAAATCGGCTGAAATCAATGCGTTTGCTTGACGTGTGTGTTCTTTTGTCCTTGCCGGCATTGAAACCACCAGGTCCTCGAACAAAATTGAATGTTCGACTTTTACCAAGTCGAAGAAGTGATCTAGCCCAACGTACCAGAGTGGGGTCCCACCGGTATTTCTCTCCCTTCGAATGGTCATACGAAACATATTCTAGTGCGCCAGAAACAAGCTTGTAGAATATGTGTTCTCTTGGAAGCACCCCACTTTGCACAACTGAGTCCAGCATCTCGGCCACTGGATCAGCAAACTGAAACCTGCGATAGCCACTATCCTCCGTGACATCTTCCCAGTCAGAATCTTCGTCGTTGCCACTGTTGGAATGCATCTCGTAGTCTGAACAGCTATCCGAGTCTGTACAGTCATTAGCTAGAACATCTGGATCCCATGTTGAGAAAGATGCCGTGGAGACTGCAGTATAGCTGTTTGTACTCGAGATTAAGGATGAATTGTTTTCTGGCTGACCTTGAAACGGTAACGTTGTGCTATACTGCACAGAGAATGGATCAGGATATTCCACCATTTCCCATATATCACTGCCCCTTGCACTGTCCCAGATATCAGTCATTTGAGGGTTTGAAATATGCCATGGGCCACCTTCACTTTGACTAAACCACACATCACCACCAGCATTTTTTTCATTTTGTTGTTTGCTTTGAGGTAAAAAAAAAAGGTCGAGCTAAAACCTTCAAAATGTTTTTAGTAATAATCTGCAATAGCAATTACGTAAGATCTCAAATTTGTCTCGCAGTAAAAATTACCAGATTCAGTTAATTAGTCTTTTTTATTAAGACAAAGCACAAGTGTATACGATTTTACATTGTGATATGAAAAAAGCTTCAGTTCCTATTTTTAAAGAAACTTCTCTACTTCCGACTTGAAACCAAACAATTTTGACGTGACTTCTGTGATAAAGTCTCCAACTAGTAGATTATTTAGACATATATTTCAACACTTATAACTGTCTTCGCATCAAATTTTCCCAGTGTGCAAAAACTTACTGCTCTACGTCTTCTTCTTCTTCTTCTATTCTGGTCACTGTCTCCTTCCTCTCCTTCTCGTGTTCTTCAGATCGCTCTCCTTTTTCTTTTGATGTTCTTTGAAACACATCTGTAATTTTCCTTGTGATAGATTTTGTTGTTTTACAATTTGCGTAGTGTTTCTCTAAAACATGAAATGAAGTACTACATTAAGTTTTTCCGTAACATCAAAAATGTGGTTTGCTACTATGAAGCAGTAGGCTGAAAACAAGTGTCCACAAGTGATACTTACTGAAATAGCTACGATTGCGAACTTTGTTCAAAGTTACCACTTTGGAGCATTGTCCACACTTAACTTTTAACTCCGAAATAGCCGATGAGTTAAACATCTTTTCTATATCTGATGATGATAAAGAAAATGAAGACAATTACAACCATTGCATATTAACCTTACCTTAGGAAATTAACGTTCATTGAAGACAGTCGACACAGACTTACCAGTTTTGAATACCTCCCACAATTTTGATTCCTCTGGCGACCGTTTTATTTCTGTGGAACTCTTTTCGGACAAACGGATCTTGTTAAACAGGTCGATTTTAGCTTTCGTTTCTGGCCGATGGCGTTCGTGACCAGGGCGGATTTTGCTGTCTTTTTTCCGCTTTGATGGCGGCGCAGTTTCATCAGCTTCAACGCTGGCAGAGGGTTCGCCCGAGTTAGTAGAGGGTGCAGTGCTTGTCGAAGTAGATGTACTAGGAACTTTCCTTTTCCGCCCCAGCAGAGACGTTTCAATGAGTTTGACTGAAAGTTGCGAACATAACAAACGTATAGTGTTAGTGTGGGAACGAAAGAAACGATAACAACCGCAAAACTTGAATCGTCCTTTTTTTAAATAGAAGGCTTAAGGACGGTGCCTCCTTTTGTTACTGCGCATACGTTCTGAGCATCTCGGGTCTTGTCCGGGATATTTAAGTTTCTCAGTGACTTGTTAAGGAATTTGTCTACTGATGCGAGGTATTTTTGCGCGGTTTAGCCTATGTAGAAAAAGCAGCAAGGGCTATCAGAATCCAAAAATAAATTTCAGGTACGTAACCACCCATTTTTCAGAGATAATTGAGCTAAAATTGGAAAGAAACTGCCGTACATTCTTAGTATTTAAAATCTTTTTTAGAATCATAATTATTTCTGAAAAAAGCGTAGTTAATTACGCACATCAGGGGGGGCTGGCAACGGCCTTTGATCTTGCCGCTTTTCGGCTTTCCATGATCGCCCCAGTTAAGAAATCTGTCAATCAATCGAGAACGGTAGCGAGCATGCGCGAAACGGGCTGAGAAAAACAACAAGAAGCTCATCTTCGCAGCGATTCGACAGTGTGAAGTGAATTCGCGGTTATAATGTTAGTCCTGTTGGTCATTGCTTTCATTCGACTTTGCCGTAACCAATCTTTTTCCGCGGTAATGTGGAGCTTACGTTTTCCTTTCTTCTGGTCTTGCGTTTGTCATTACATGCGGTTTACTACGCTAAGAACGAAGAACGAGACTAGTGAACATGTTTCTCGATGTCCGACCTTTTGACTATGTGTTTCTGTTTAGAAGAGCCACAAGACTAAGAGAAGGGCCAGCCCTCTAACACGTATGTAGAAGAGTTTATATTATCAAGTGAAAGGCCCAACATTAATTCTTCGCAGTATTAAAAAAAAGTGCGGTGGCTGTGGTCGAGTAGAAGAGTTGTCAGAGTTGTTTACGGTTTTAGTACACCTTTAAGACGAGAAGAAATGATGATTGTAACCTGAGATCAGGCTCTATTTTCGCTTCGCTTTGAAAATTACATTCCGGTGGGCAAGGCGAAACGAAAAGAGCCAATTTCAGCGGTAGCCTTCAGAGAGAATGTATGAGAACCGCTCAAATTGGGCCTGATCTCAGGTTATGATGATTGAGATTCTTAATTTTACATGCTTGATTGTGAACTTATCCTGGCAGAGTTGCGTTGGATGATCGAGTGGCATGGTCAAATCTCGTAGTTCATGTATTTCTTTATGTACTAGAAGCTAAATAAATTTTGCCAAGAGATCATTCTCTCTTGATTTTGCACATGTTGATATGTTAAAGTTTCGTTCTTCGTGTGATTTAATTTAAACTTTACCGTAGTTTCTAACAAATGAATCTTAGGCAAATGAAAGGGTAATTATGTTTTGTGTTTGGAATTCTCTTTTCATGACAGCAGTTATTAAACTGCCTTCAGTTTCAGTTCTCATTCGTGTGTTTTGCTGCAAACAAAGAGGCAAAAATTATAAATTCCAAAAACTACACCACCCCTCATGACCCCTTGGAACAAGATTATGGTTTAAAAAAGTTGGGATTAGCTAGGTTCAGAAAATAAATGTTCAAGTTTGCATGTTTTGACAAGGACCACATCTGGCTAAATACTATGCTTTAAAGGGAATTTATAAAGTCAGGAAAATGGTGACATTTCTATTTGTGCCTTTCCTTTGGCCACTGTGATCAGTTTTTGCCATACAGTTGCATGTAATTTTTTACACCGTTTGTGTCTGTGCTATATATATAATGTAGTTAATGGAATCAAATCCTCTCAAATCCTCCCAACTGGATATGAAAAACACCATAGGATGCCTTGGAAAAAAAATGTAAAATCATATTATTAAGATAATATATTTATTTGTAATCAACTGAATAACAGTTGGAACCTTGTGCTGAGGCAGGCAAAAACCTTTTTCAGAGACCATAAACATTCACTAACCTTGCTGTTACAACAAGGTAAAAGGGTATTAAAATGTGAGATCACCTCCCTGGGCTTGCACTGAAAGAGAGTATGGGTAGTAGGACACATTGTTTATTTCCCTACCCTTTTTAAGCCAAGAGACCTTATTTTTTAATTCTGATTCATTTCATTTAGCATACAGAATTAAGTTAGCTTTTAAACTTAGAAACATGGAAACAAAACTTGGGGAAAAAATGGTGGTACCAAAAATGTAACTATAGACTGCTCTTCATCAACCTTTACAGCCCAAACACTGAGACACCCAGTTCAAAACTCTAAAGGATGAAATGGTCACCACCCTAAATCAGCAGGACATACCCATCTAGGCAAAATAAGCCAAGGGCAGTAGGCTTAAGGGACAATAACTTCTTTTGATGGTTGATATAAAATCAATTTTTCCTTGTTTTTTTTTGTTGTAAATCAAATTCATAACTTACACAAACAACCGAAGTTGTACATTTTTGCAAAGCTCCTTCTGATTCTCTTTATAAACTTTGCAAAACATTCAGTTTTCTTTTTTCTGTTTCTTGTACTTCAGTCCTTTGAGGGATTTTCTCAATGCATACCGGTCTCTTATGTACTCACTCTTATTAGCAACTGGATAAGCCTCTTGTCCCCTCACTAAACCATTATAATCATTTCAAGTAAAATTCAGAACTACAGGGTAATTTTTGTACAAACAATTTCAAGGAAATACTTGAAACCGAAGTCACTATCTAATACAAAACTACTAAATACAGTACTGTTGTTGGCAATTTATTGATTATCACTCCAATGATATTCCAGTGAAGGTTTTGAAAGTTCAGTAAAACCCTCGCAGCCTTCTGATATTAAAAATAGCTTATACTGACAGACCCAGTATATGTGAAGCCAAGTGACTGGAAAATTTACCCTGGCTTTTACTAAGTTGGCCTTGTATTCTGTATTTTCGCCCATAAATATTTGTTGTGGATCTCGGTTTACAAACAAACTTACGAACAGCGAAGTAGAAAATTGGTTTAATGTATATTCCCATATGACTGTTGCAAGACTCATACTAATATAGTGAGCTCGTAGTATATGTTTAGGATAAGGAAGAGAGTTCTTAATACCACCGTAGCTGGAAAAAGATAAGAGATGGAGACTGGGCTGGTTGCTCGAAAATTCACGAAGCTTATAAATAACTGAACTTGTTGCCGAGATGCCGAATCACGCTAAGTGTAGTCAACCATGAACTATTCATACATCACGCCTCCTGATGTCCAAAAATTCCAGTAAAAATGTTCTTGAAAACCTTTTCTTGATGTTTGGACGCGGGAAAACTCAAAACCGAGCAAAAACTCATCGTCCCTCCACGTCTACATTCTCCGCCATATTTGTTTTGACGGTAAATGGTACTCAGTCTCACTCGGCCCAATTTCTTAACTGGGGCGATCATATAAACTCGGTTCCAGACCTCGCTGCCAGCCCCCCCTGACGCACATTTTTGTTTTTACATTTCAATAACCCTTGTTAACATCTGCTTTTTGTCCATGGTGCTAATCTTTGCAAAAATACCTCTGTATTAGGAGGCAGCGTCCTGAAATGGTAAAATTTAATAAGGAGAAAAAAATAGCGCGTTTGTTTACTGTCGACAACAATCGTTCGTTCTGTACACGCCACCACTGGCTTTAAAAAGAAAAACACTTGGAGATACACATCCCGTACCATCCCTTGTGTGTGTTCTTCTTTTCTTTTTTGCAGTTATTATCTTAATTGTGTTTCAAAATATTGCCATGCTGTTTTCAAGACAGGCCATTGAATTTATGGGGTTTTACTGCTTCGCATGATGTGTCCAGGTTGTGCAATGTTGTCGATGTTAATCATTGACTGAATTGTTTGAAAGTGCTTCACGAGCAGCAACCACGCTACCGATATTCCTCTCGCAAAGTCGTATTTCTTCAAAAGTTGACAAATTTGGTGATACTTTGCTTGAGAGAATCAAAATGCATGTACTACTATTGTCACTATTGGCGATTGTGAAAAATGTAAAATTACAGTGCAAAGTACTAGGAAATGACACCTACCGTGCAGTTCGTAATCTTTTGTGATTACTTTTTCTTTGTTATCTATGAAGTCCAACCGGACAGCGTCCCACGCTGTTTGACTTCCTATTCTAATAGGGAGTCCTTTGCCCTTATCCAAAACAAAAAATTGCGTTGTATATCTAACCACTCCGCATTCTCCAGCGCGATCATTGAATTTGCATTCCCTGGACACAAGTTTGCACCACGCCGTAAAATCTTTAGTGTTTTGCAAACTACAATCGTACGGAGGAGCTCCCATGAAGGTCTTCCATGTACTGATTTTTCCACACCACACCGAAAAATACTTAGACCGATTAAAATGGTCTTTGACGACATTTTACCTGCGAGACAGGTCAAACAGACGAGACCCTGACACGACTTACACACTCGACACACGTGTACATGTGTCACGCCACCTCATTCATGAGGACTCGTGACCTATGATGTAACCGACTTGGAAAGGTTTCCAATTTCACCGGAAGTAATGCTCTTTTTTCTATCCCGAGTGCGAATTTACGTTTTTTGACTTTTCTCGCATTAAAATTTTGATTTAGGGCCTCGGAGAACGTTAAATGGAAGTCAAGAAATGTTGTTGGGTTCGTTTCTTTGACTGGATGATGAGCAGTAACAATTAACGAAAGCTTGCCTTTTGGAATTTCTCTCCCGCTTCCCGCCATCATAGAGATCCCGCTTCCCGCCCTTTCTTCTCCCGTCTCCCGTACCCCTCCCGCCCCCTGTTCTCCCGGGTTCCCGCCCCCCTGTCCCCCTCCACCCTACTCGGACCTTTGACCTTTGTCGCATTATTAATTAATTTACGTGATAGCTTCAGAATGATGACACTAGATTTCTACGAAAAAAATTTTTTTCTCCCTATCCTTTTGCAATACTGTAATCATGTAAATAAAGGTTTGTTCTTGTTGTTGTTAACTTTTCTTCAGAGGTGGTGACCGATGCATGGAACGAATTTGATCCCCCACCACGTTCCTGAGAGGGTCAATTTTTCGAAATTCTCTCTTGTCGAAATATAACCAGAGCTAATTTAAGACCTTTCTCTTGCCTCATGCATGATTGAGTACAAAGTGGTGAAAGGAAGAAATAAAGGAGGACCTAACCGAGATCAATTAATGTTGTTTATATAGAGATTGAATCTTTCCTGCTGCTAAACTAAAAAGCATATGCGTTTGGGTAGAGGTCCTAAAATTTAAGTTTAAAATTGGAGGGCGTCTCAAAATCTTTATTTACTTATTTATTTTATTATCTTGGCATTACTTTTAAAAGAGTATGTCAAGGATCATCTGTGTAGACCTCACTTTTCAGCGCGATAGAGGGTTCCACATTGACCTAGTTTTTCATAATTAACATACTGACTTGGCACAATCAAAAGTGAATAATTATTGTAATTAATTTTGCTGCGTGATTAAGAATCACCATCTATATGGTGAGTTGTTATTACCCTCTTACATTTAGTCGTATTTTGTATCTACAAAGATGTGCCTTTTATGAACAAGTAACTCAAGATCACTGTCAATTAGCGGATCCACAAGTTCAGTGAGTAGGACTGGGTTGGAGCATTCCCCTTATGAGCGTCATATCCAAAGTCATATTCAATTTCACTGCCACCGGCATCAACAAAAGAAGCAGTCCCTGCTTCTGTTATTCCAATCCCGTGATCAGCACGATGACAGTCCTTTCCTCCTCCACCAATCATCATCACCGACCCATCACCGCCACTCCAGTCACACCAGAAGCCGATCTTGTTGCTACTTTGGATGTTGCTACTACACTCAGCCTGTTGAAACCCGTGTGTTGTCTTGTACTGTCCGCCATATTGAACCGAGCAGCTTCCCAGGCACCTGTCACTGGACCAAACTTTGCCGTTTCTAAAGTCGCCATAACTTGTTATTTTTGATCGGAATGTCTTTTCACCCAAACAGTTCCCTGTGGTCTGCAACAGTGGCGTGTGACTGGAGTCATCACTGCGGGTGATTTTTAACTTCCTGCCTTTCAGCAGCCAAAATGCAGGTGAGATCATGTCAGCGTTAACTGACGGATCAGTTGTTGCTCCAGCAGCATTTCCTCGGTCATACCACCAGTCACCACTGTCAATCATCCAGTTTTTGCCGTCGTTATTGGAGAACCGAGCAATCAATATCCAGCCCGAGTGACAGTAGTATCCCTGAATCGGGAAAAACAAGTGAAGCAGTTTTCCTTATTTTTCAATGACTTGAAAACTCCACCTGGACAACACGCATCTCACTTAACATTGCGCCTTAATATTAAAATAACAACAGTAATTAGGAAGATTATTGAAGAGCACTATACAAAGTTAGTTAGTATAAAAAAAGAAATATGTACCTTGAAGGATGGATTTTGAACTCCACAAGGCCCTGAAAGTTTGCCATTGAGTGTTAGCTTGATTTTTTAATCATTATTACTTAAAACAAGAACGTAAGGAACCTAAAACTATACTAGAAATTCTTTATTTCCTTGTCTTCTAGATAAAGAGGTTTGTTTGGAGAAATTATAAGCGGTAAGAATAACCTATACAGGAAGCTTGCGAAACAATAATGAGTTGATTAGGTCGCATTTCAACAGTAGCAACACTGTTTCTCGCACCTTTTCTTTGAAGCCCAGTCCGCTTGCCCGTCGATTAGGTGAGTTTCCAGTAAACAACTGGCTTCATGAGTTTCGGTTCTTTCGGTACTTCGATTACAAAAATAATGTTTCTCATGATTTAGATGATACTTGAAAAGAAATAATGACCGCTTTACATCATCAATCTTTTCATGCCACTTCGAGGAGGGGTGACGCGAGAATTTTTGAAAAAGCGTATATTCTATCGAATTCTCCGAAGTTAAAAAGAATAATCGCTTTAGTATATACACATGAGGTGTCAGAAACTAAACCTTCAAGCACTGATTTGATTGACGGTCAATTCATAAGTAAAATGCAAAAAGAATAGGTAAACAATTTTGATCTTTACAGAACTTTCAAACATGGCAAATCATAGTTTTTTTATCCTTTCCCAGACTATAGCGTCAATATTTTAACAAGAATAACTAAGCGTCCAAGGTATACAATCCGTATTTAACTTAGTAAATGTCTCAATTGTTAACAAAGTGTGTGTGTGTGTGTTTCATTCATGACTCTTTAACCCATCGGGCACATCTCGGCGTAACATTAATTCAAAGGAACAGATTTCAGGAAAAGCGAGGTCTTGTCGGTAACAAGCCAAACCAGGGCGGATAAAGGTAGGGCGGTGAAACGAGCGCGTCCGAGCAAAAAGGTGTGATGCAGTGGACTGGGACTATGTTTAGAAATGTGGCTTGTCTTCGACTTCGGTCGGGGCTTGCGATGTGGTTTGTACATAAGACACTGCCGCTGTCACTGAATTATGGCGCCTTGATTTGTTTTCTTGCACTTCTTCCTCGTTCCTTTGTGCTGGTACGCTGTCTCCGAGAGGCAAATGTTGCTATTTTTTGCGGGAGGTTTAGTTGGAGTAGACAAACATCTCTTTCAAAGGGTTTCTTTTATTACTTCCATGACTCTACCACTGAATTATATTTTCGTTCTGCTACTCGCCAATGTCGATGTTATTCCAAAACAAAAACAACTGAGTACTGTCTAAAGCACAAAGGAAAATCTCATCCATGTCATCCATGGCAAAACTAAAAGACAGCAGATCGTGTTTCATAACTAGATGACGTATATTTTATAAATGCGTGCAGCTCGTGCAAGGTGAAATTATGCTAATTTCAATCACCATCATCCTTCTTTTTAATTTTGAAAAAACTTCTCATACGTCTTTCTGTTTCTTCGAAACTTCAAAATTAGTGTCCCCTCAGTTTTTACTGTTTACCTTGTTTTGTTTTAGAGAGAAAAACGGAGAAAAAACCTTACAACTAACCTCAATAAATTTTGTTTACATTCGGTGGCCGGATTTGCAACGCATTGCGCGAATCGCCATGTCGCGTTGCAAACGAGAAGCAAAGTTTGAAGAAGTACAACGCCACTATATCAATATATATCAATCTAATTTTTTGTTATGTTATATAAAATTTATCCCCCTTTAACATATTTAAAAATTGAGGTTAAGAAGTGTTAAGCTTTTACAAACGAAACGGTGAAAGACGATTAGGTGATATTTAGTGGAAGGAGGAGGTATTCAACACTTTCAAATTAAACTCAAATTTTGGCATTATACGACCAACAAGTTTGACCTATAGACGTACAGTCACAAACATATGAAACTGTTTATTGATATTGTTATGAAACGAATTTATCTATTTAACATTGTAGCCTGAAATTACAGAAAGAAAATAGGATTTCCGGTTTGCAAAAAGGAAAATTTCGCCTGCCTTCAAGCACACCGGAAGCGCGGAAAGAGCGCTCGTGCCAGTCCTACTCCGCATCACACATTAAATGAAGAGCGGAGCGCTCGTTTCACCGCCCAACCTTTATCCGCCCTGAGCCAAACTGAAACACACTTTCGACGGACAAACATATCCAGACCTCCAACTCTCACGGTTTGGGCAGTCGACTTACGGTCTCACGATTTAGCCTCCAAATCTCACGGTGAATTAGAAAATCTTAAAATTGCCAGACAATTTCGGTAGAAGCCGCGTTATTTTAAAAAACCTCTTCATAATGGGCAAATATTGTATCAATCTAATTTTGCGTTAATTGGGGGAATGCCAGCGTCCAATTACAATCTCATTCCCGTAAAACATAGGTTCGCTAAGGTCTGACGGAAAGCCCTTATCAGTAAAACAGAATCTTCTCATTACTACTAGTAGAGAATCAAGACAGTATGACGACACCACTAATAGAGTAAAGAATATCACGACAAAAATAATCTGCCTTTTTGGTTTTATTTGGCACATATTTTCGAAATATCCAGGCCCTGGTTGTTGAAAAGTTGGATAGCGCTATATCCACCGAATAAATCTTTATCCATTGGATAGCCCAATTGGTTTCCCTAATACTTACTCGCTGGATAGTGATTTATCCGGTGGATAGCCCTATCCAGCTTTTGAACATCTGGGGCCTGGTTTGAGGTCCCAATCTCCAGGTTTTTGGGTGATTTTTTTTTCAAGCACTCCATATTTGCATGGTTTACTAGGGTTTGAAGGTATGCATATCCCGCGACCTACAAAGCCGTAAAAACGTCTGCGAAGAGTCTGTTTCACGCGTGTTCAACACGCGATGTAAATTTCGACAAAATTTTAAACTCGCTCCGTTCGCGAGAATTGGCTTGCGTCGCAGACAGTCTAAACCAACTGTATACTACTGGTCGAAACGATGCGTGGGCCGACTGCAACACAGGCTAAAACTGTATTTACCTATTGCAAAAGCCCATGGTGCGGCTTCTAGCAAAAGCTCACCTTCTAGCAAACACTGCGGCTTTATTTAGCAAACTTGAAGTCATTGACATAAATATGTTTAGCACTTATTTATCGTTTTCTGCCTTTTCTAGTTTTGATTCTTATCACCATAAATTTCTGTCTAATAGCTTTCGTAGCCTCTTTTGAACTAGTGATCAGGTTCACCGTTATAAAAGTCGTATTCTTGCAGAACGAATAACGCGGGAATTTTCGGGGCAAACTTGGCCGGAAAGCAATCGGCAAAAAAACGGCGGATTTTGTGGTTATTTTCAGGGCAAGTTTCGCTGGAAATCGATCGGTCGCCCCATGTAAGGGAATCCAAGACACTCTTGGATTCTGGATTCCACGCCGTGGATTCCGGATTCCATTTACTGGATTCCAGATCTTTTTCAGTGGAACTTGGATTCCGGATTCGAATTGTTAGTGGGATTCCGGATTCCTACACCTGTATTCCGGATTCCAAATCCCAGGATTCCGGATTCCACAAGCAAAAATTTCCAAGATTCCGGATTCCAAATGCAAAAATTTCCCGGATTCCGGAATCCGGATTCCTTTACATGGGGCGAGATCGGTTTTGCGCTGATCAGACCAGCGTTTTAAGTGTTTTTCTAACAGAGTTCATCATTTGCTCTTTCAACGACTCCAACAACAATACGCTCCAGAACTGAACCAATGGAAAAGCCTTTAACATCATGGCCAGTGCCCAGTTTTTCGCAACATAATCTACGCCTGGTAGTTTTGGAACGTTGTTTGCACGTTTCAGTGACGACGTTTTGACATAAATTTGCGAGCTTACGGCAAGTAAATACCCCCAGTAGCTGAGACAAGTTTCAAAATTGCTGTACAGACATGTATTTGATCAGATTTCCACCGAATTTCGCGGTATTTTGAATATCACGGCTCCGCGACCGCGCGAAATATCTGAAGCCCTGATTTAATGTTATGTTGTGTGAGTGACCAACAAATAAATAAATCGATAAAAAATATATGTATTAACGAAAATAAAAAACGTAAAGAATTACTTGTCCTCTCAAAATTACTTCAGATGTTGCCTCCGATTTTCCAAACTGGTTGGTTGCACGGCAAGTGTATTCCCCAGCCCTCTCTCTATTCACGTTTCTAATGGTAAGGCATCCATCCTTCTGAATGAAATATAGAAGCGATGTTAGAGTTGCTCCTGATCTTGACCACACCACGTGACCGTCTGCTTCACAACAGAGCTTTACGGTGGATCCTCCGTCTGCATACACGTGATGCGAAGGCTTTCTTGTTAATATCGGAGATGCTGCAGTAAAATTTGTGGCAAGTTAGATCAATCATTTATGTGATAAGCAAAAGAAAAAGTAAGTTTCCTTCTTAGCGGGCTCGTAATAGACCAAAGCTGGATTTCTAGTATGTTAGGATTCAGTTCATTAAGATTTGTTATCAATGACGTTCTCAGCGATTAGTGGCAACGAAAACCGCGTTAAAAACAAAAGCAAAACAACAACAGTACTGCGTGCATGTGCAGTAAATTTCAATGCATTTCTTTGCCATCACTGCAAGACAACAACATCATCTCAGAATTTTGCTGTCCCTTTCTGGGGGGATGAGGTCCGCGGTAAATCCTGGTTTCCATCTTCCAGATCGTCTTGATTGTCCGAGTCCGAGTCGTCTCAAAATGTTTTTAGGTGAGACGAGGCGATGAAATGGAAACAATGCTGATGCGAAGCGGGACGATCCAGACGATATCTGTAACCAAAGACGGAACCAGCTATTCTACCCCAGAAGAAAAAACCATTATATTCAATGAGCATTATTAATATCTCTATTCATGTCTATTGCTGATAACAGTCTTCATAACACCATCAATACTGAACACGATCTAACCAGTTTGATGGATTTCGTAAATCGTACCTAAGCTGGCAACTCCTCTGAATTCAGCATACCAACAATTTCATAACGCGAAGTTTTAGCAATCATCAAATCCCTCCCACCAAATGTTGCAATCGGACTTGATGATCCTTTGTTTACGGTTTAATAATAATAATAATAATAATTTACATTTATATAGCGCAAACCTCTATATGAATATATTCGGTTGCGCTTTACAATATTGTTTTATTAAATTTATGTTAAATTTATGTTATGTTAAATTTATGTTATGTGACTAAAGCATGAGAAACTATTAAAAACTACAATAAAAAGTATTAAAAACTATAATTAAAAATAATAATAATAATAAAGACAAGAAAAACCTATTATAAAAGCCAACAATAAAATCTATTTAAAAGCTAAATAGAAAAAATGAGTTTTAACAGCAGTCTTAAAAGTGTCCAATGTCTTCATGTTGCGAATTGCCGAAGGTAATGCATTCCAGAGACAAGGTGCAGCTGACTGGAATGCACGATCGCCAAGAGTTGCATGGGTCTTAATGCCTGGTAACTCGAGGAATATAGACTCATTTGACCTTAGAGAGTACCTGGATTACTTTTTGATAGTAATGAAATCAATTAGATAATTAGGAGCTTGACCATATAAGCACTTAAATGTCAAAAGTAGAATCTTAAACTTTATACCGTAACTTATTGGAAGCCAATGAAAGTGGAAAAGCAATGGTTTAACATGGCAGAATCTAGGTGTTCCGGTGACCAACCGAGCCGCGGCATTCTGTATCCGTTGGAGTTTCATAATATGTGAATTCGGGAGGCCATATAGTAGACTGTTACAATAATCTATTCTACTGGTGATAAAAGCATGAACTAGTGATTCGGTGACTGAACGACTTAAATACTTCCTAATTCTACGCATGTTATGAAGATAATAGAAAGCGGATGAGCAAGTTTTGTTGATATGACTTTAGCATACTCATTTTAGAATCAAACCAGGTTACTAGGATTCGAACTTCACAAGATGGAGCAATTTGGGAGTCCCCAGCCGATAAGGTACTAATGTTACTGACTTTCTGAAGTTGTTGTCGTGTTCCAATCGAAAGACATTCTGTCTTATCGGAATTCAGTTTTAACTTATCCGAATGCATCCATTGACTGATATCAGCAATACATGATTCCATGGTAGTTATAGCAGCGGTCTCCTCCAAATCATTTCCTGATCTAAACGCGATGTACAGTTGCGTGTCATCTGCATAACAATGGGAATTAGGAAGATGTGATTCGACGATCTTAAAAAGTTTGCTAGCATAGAGGGAAAACAATAATGGCCCGAGACAGCTGCCTGGTGGAACTTCACATTTAAGATTAAAATTACTCGATAGAACTCCGTCTATATAGATGCGCTGGGTTCTGTTAGAAAGGTACGATTCAATCCAATTAAGTGCAGAGCCTGGAATTCCAAAATCAAACTGGAGGCGATCTAAGAGAATCCGATGGTCCACGGTGTCAAACGCGGCGCTTAAATCAAGAAGCACTAACAACGTGACCTTCTGATTTTCCATGTTCATCAGAATGTCATTCTTGACTTTAAGCAGGGCAGTTTCTGTGCTATGGTGCCGTCGATAGGCTGATTGCAATGAAGGAAAAAGATCATGCTCATTTAAGTAGGACTGAATCTGATCAGCTGCCACTCTTTCAGCCAATTTTGAAACAAAGGAAAGATTGCTGATCGGTCGAAAGTTTTTAAAAACCAAGTCAAGACCTTGTTTTTTTAGCAGTGGTGTAACAATCGACTCTTTCCAAATGTCAGGAAAAAGTCCTGATTCAAGCGACAAGTTTATCGTAGTAGATAATATCGGAAGTAACACATCAAGGCATGATTTAAACCAGTCGTGCACGATTAAAACCAGTCGTGCACGACACCCTTGATACCATAATTATAGAGCTTAGATAAAAGCCTACTATGATTCCCTGTTTTAAACGCTTTTTTAAGACCTATAAGGATTCCGCAGGAGTTATTCCCTTGGTTCATGTTACATTGTATGGTGCTAATGGTATCAAGTATTGCGTGTTGGGTACAGGTTGGGTATTATGTTTGTTCAAAACCCGTATTGCGAAGTAAATAGGATACCATATTTGTCGATAAATTCACTTAGTCTAATGAACATATTAATTTTTTCAAAAATTTTATTATAAACAGAAAGAAGTGAGATTGGGCCATAGTTTCCCGCCCCTGTTGCGTCATGGCTTTATAAGCTGGAATTATTTCAGCAAGTTTTAGTTTGTTTGGATTAATCCCATATGAGATAGATTGGTTAAAAGTATTTGCTAAAGGTTTTGACTTAAAATATATTTAACCATTTTAAAAAGTTCAATAGGACACGAATATAGCCCATAGGCTTTATTACTTGGTAGCATACTAATTACGATACATATTGCTCCATATTAAAAGACGCCAAAATATATATTTTTTAAATTCCCATACACCCAGTCATGTATCACGTATCAAAATCGTCAGCTGAAAATAATTTGTTTTAAAAAAGGCGACTTGGCTTTGTACAGGAAATCGCTTTTGGCAGGACATGTATATTACACAAAATTGAGTTTATGCATTCATGTGAAAGGGAACAAGCCAGTTATAATTTTCATTGTTGTACAACGACGAATTAAATACCATAAAAAGCAATCACAAAAAAGTAAAAGAGGCACGAGAACAAAAAGAAAGAAAGAAAAAATGGACAATACTACTATAAAGTGTCTTACCTTTTACTCCTAAAATGGTCACTGCTCGGAATGTTCCATAACTAGTTACGACTGTACATAAGTATGATCCAGTGTGTGATCTTTGGACATTACTGATATGCAGAATACCATTTGTTGTACTTATGTCACGGTGCGAATTACCTTTCAACTTACGCCAGGTTATTTTCTGAGACAAATGACCTTGAACCCAACAATAAAAAGTTGCCGGTTTGTTCAGAAACACATGCTGAGAGTCTGGAGAAACAATTATTTTGGGAGGAACGACGCATTCTCCTTTTGGTCCTTGAATACCAGTAAAGCCTCTGTTTCCTTTGCTTCCTTTTATTCCAATGGATCCTCTGAAACCTGGTGGGCCCATAAGTCCAGTGTCTCCTTTTGCTCCACGAGAGCCTACTGCTCCCTCTTCACCTTTTACTCCCTTGAATCCTTGCGCTCCCGTAGGCCCTTGTGTTCCTCTGATGCCTTTAGTTCCTTTAGGGCCCAAAATACCACGCGGGCCAGTTTTCCCAGGGGCTCCTTTTTCTCCCTTGTATCCAGGGTACCCAGGGGCACCTTTTTCTCCCTTAGGTCCCTCTTGGCCTGTTTGACAGAGCTTATCAGCTGTGGTGCACGCTTGTGTAAATTTCTTGTCGATTTCCTGGCGGATTTGCTTTAAAGATAATGCACCAGGGGTCGGGGCTATTTGTCGTCTTTCTCGTAGATGCTGTCTTGACACACTTTCTAGGGTTTCTTGAAACTCTGTTGATAATAAAAATATGTTATTATTATTATTAGTCTGTAAACAGCTTAGTGTACGTTTTGTGGAAGTATATTTAATACGGAAGGCGACAGTTGTGTCTGGTCGAATCGTACTTTAGGTATAGGGACCAGAAATTTGAGGGAGGGGGGGAGGGGTGGCGTTGTCCTGAATTTTGCTGCACCTTGACTTCAGTAATTTGCCACTTATTTATTAAACAGGTCACATATATTTAGGTTTTACGCTATAATTATCAATTAAACAGAACCAAAATGGCTCAAAATTGGAACAAACGGGGTGGGCACATAAAACCAGAGACGGGAAATATTAGTTTTCAATTCAACGCGATGCATAAAAAGTAATCCTTTTAGGAAACATACCTTAGTGATCGTATCGTACTCCAAGTTGAAAACTTAAGGAGAAATGTTCCATTTAAAACCTATCCTAACCCAGCTTAAGCCAGCCGCCATACATCTAGAAGTATGCGTGGTTATTGTATACTGATACAAACACGAGAGTCAATTCGCCATAAATGGATTGAAGTGATCTTTGCACGAACCGAAGTATTTGTATACATTAGAGATCATAATAAAATGACATTCGAATTCAGACTTTCTTGATCTTCAAGTCAGGAGCGCCCAACGACTTTATTCTGAACTTAAAATAACTGTTCGAAGGAATAAATGATGCGAACAAATTTCTAAAGCTTGAAAAAGGTTAACAACTTCTGGATAACCGTTCCACTCGTTTAACATATTCGGAACGTTTTTCTACTAGTACCTTACCTACAATTTTTGAAGATTAAGTTTTTCACATTTTATTACCAGAATATGGCGATCATTGTTTAAAGAGGTCTGACGAAAATTTCGGTATGAAGACAAAACGTCCCCTAGAATCTGCTAATGAAGGCTTCTCCATATCCTTAATCTTCAAACCGAACCCATGAGAGTTAAGCTACAGTTTCTGATAAGACGAATCAAAGGCTCCTAGGAGCGAGCTCATGGATGAATTGAATTAGTGTAGAAAAAACATTCCATTTTGAAATTTAGGTGTTTTAAACAGTTTCGTCACCGTAACCGTATTCACTTTTCTCCTTTTTTTTTCTTTTTATATTTCATGACTTCCTGTGTGTTGATATACTTGATAGATCACGTTTACATTTGTTTAGCATTTGATTTTTGGCAGGTTTTATTTTTGGCATACAGTATTTAGCATTTGGTTTTTGGCATCTGCTTTTGGCATATAGTGTTACGCATTTCGTCAGCGTTTCTTCGGTAACTTTATCCATCAATGCTTTCCATTAACGCTTGCCATCAACGACTAGGGAGCTTGCGTTCCTTGCTCGAAGCTGTTTCTAACCTTAGGAATTCAAACCCGACACAGTCGAAGTATCCGATTGCATGTTCACCTGAATATTCTAGAAACTTGTTATCAGCGTGGCATTTCTGCTTAACCCAAGGATCACTTTAAACTTATTAATTTAACGCTTGTTAGTTGTAAAATAATTTGCTTTCTCATGTGACCGTCAAACAATTTCCGAACGATAGTGCACTTTCTTGTAAAATACCTATTAAAGTTTTACATAAGGCCGAGTTTTATTTAAATCGTGGTTTTACGCAATTATTTTAATGGACCTCGAGGGTTTCCTATAAGTGCTTTCAAATAAATGTTTCCATATGCTGTTCACATAGAGCACGTCACGGTTAGTATATGATTGTACTACGAGTTATTAAATACAGAATACAGGCGTATGGCGTTCCGTTGCGTTTGGCGTTTACGGCTGAATTAAACTGCTTTAGAAGCGCTTTTGCTAAACACTAGCTAAAAATTATTTTGATAAACGGACTGAGCTCGAGGCTGTAATTTAACGCAGTCGAAGTATTCTGTTGCGCTTCTGTAGTTGAGTATTCTAAAAATCTGTTCATTCCAGCGTAGCATTTCCTGTAGAAATTACATTAATGGCACTGATAAATAGAATCACCTTTTTACAGAATTCAAGCAAAATTGTCCAAATAACACGAAACCACAATAGATACTCCTCAACGTCACTTTAATCGAGGACCGTTTTTCGGCAGCTAAGGCTCTTTGGCTTATTATTCGCTTTTCGCTGAGCGAAATCCCATCGTCAGTCTGCGATAGCTCTTTCACACTCCGAGCACAGTTCGTCCAAATATACAACAATGATGCCCGCTCAATTATTTCAACGTCCTTTTAACAACTCCAAGTCCATTTCTTGCCGATGATATTGTCAGTGTTCTTTAGGATATTTCCATTTCCACAAAACCCATCTTCGGCTAGGCTGGCTACTCTATGATGTGTCGGAAAAAAAATGTACGCCTTTAATACTAGATTACTAGTACCCTAGAATATGCCAAACATATGCGTAAAAGGCACTTGAAACAAAAGTAATACTAAGTAAGAGAGGTAAAAGTAAAGTGTTTAATCCGACTTTAACGAATAAATTAATGAGAATCGAGTCAGTGAGTGAGTAAGTGAGTGAGTGATCGAGTGCCATTCGAGTGCCTGCAAAACCCCATGGCATGACTACATCATCCATGAGCTAAAAAGCCACTTACCTGACTTCCGAGACAACGAAAGTTCTCCAAAGACATCCAAAAAGATAAATAGTTTCTAGGGCAGCTCCAAATTAACTTAACATAAATTAGCTCCAAAATTATGGTGAAAACCATTTGAGACACCGTCTTATATATTATATTAAAAAGCATTCTGTTGTTGGGTGCCCCTGTTTAATAAAGTGTTCTTCAGTGCAATTGCTACGTCTTGTGTATTCAAAAACAGTTGTTTAAGACTTACCCTTGTTTGCAGAACTTCTTGAGCTTTGTTTCGTAGGGTTCCACTCTGTCTGTAACATCTCCTTCAGAATACTATGCACTTTCCCTTGCATTTCGTCCTCGATTCGCTGAATACGTTTTTCAAGCTTTGCTTCCATCACTTCAGCCCTCCTATTTACAAACTCTACCCTCACAATCAGCAACGCAAAGAGAACCAGTGACAAGCCAAAGATTACCAACGAGTCTTTTTTGGAGACCTTTGTACTACATTTGGCATTTGATTTGGTCTCTTCTTCCATTTTGCTCGGTGTTTACTGATTATCGTACTCCGTGTTTGCAGCGCAGGAGGAAAGGCTGTCATGTGCGCAAGCTGTCATTACAAGGATATCGGTTACGGGAAGTTGTGTGATCGATTAGTTTAAAATAGCAGCTTTATTAAGGACAAGCTTCAGGAAATGTGTCAATTCAATGCTAGAAGTTATCCAATTTCGGGGAATAGGAGATTTTTAGCTTTTGCTGACCTCGGTGGCTACATAAGACAGAGAAAACAATTGAAAGTATGAAAGAATTTGGTAACTACTCTGTGAAATGGTCTTAAAAATATATGATAACAATCAAACGAAATGAAACAAATTCTGATTTTAACAACTTGCTGACATAGGAGGTAATTGCCAAATGCAAGACACAGAAACAATCGAGCGATCCAAGAAATTGGGAGTCCTTACCTTGTATGCTCAACTCGTTGCTTCACTGGGGTAGAAAAATGCTTTCACAATTGCTGATGCGTGCTTTCTTAGATCAAACGGCTCACGTTTTTGACCTTAAGGGCCAAAGTCAGACTAGGACATACAGTATGCCAAATTTAGACTTCCGGCCCCGGTTGTTCAAACGCTGGATAGCGCTACCCCCCGGATAAATTGCTATCCAGCGGATAAGTGTTAGGCAATCCAACTGCGCTATCCAGTGGATAGTGCTATCCACCTTTTGAATAACTGGAACCGGATCAGGAGGGAGGAAGATCCCCTAACCTAGGAAGATCCTAGAAGGCGAATGATCCTAGCGCCATATGTTTTCTGTATTCAGTTTACTTGCAAAAAGTTGTAATTTTCCTTAGTGCTAGGATCTTCCTAGCTGAGAGATAGGAAGATCAGTCCTAGTACCAGGAAGATCCTAGCACCAGGTAAACTGCCTTCCCTAGGAAGATTTGTTAGCACTAGGAACAAACAGAACAAAAACGGCGGTTGTTCGTTCAACGGGTTATCTTTGTTCTTTAATTCCTCCTCTTCTGTTAAACACACGGACCGAAATTTCCGCATGTAAACCCACCCGAAAAGTTGTTTCGCCTTCTAGGATCTTCCTTCCTCCATGTAAACAGCCTCATAGATTCTTCGATTCGAAAACATTGCTGGCATTATCCCTAGTTACGATTTACCTTAGCCCTATATTAAAGGCCGGAATAGTCAATCGATAAAAGTCGGTAGCAATCAAGTGATTTGGTAGCTTGAGGGGTCGTATACAGGATATATAATTACACAATTTTTCGACTAAAATAAGTTTAAAAAATTCTTCAAATACTTTTAAATTAACTCTGTCTAACAACTTCACAGATGTTTCGACAGTGAAACGATTAAAAACATCTAAAACGTCTTACTGCACAGGTTCATTACTTGGAACATCATATTAACTCACACAGAATCTAATTTGTTCGCTAAAAAGCCTGAAGTAACCTAAAATTTTTTCTGGTCTCTAACATGAGATAAGGCCCAATTTAAGCAGCTTTCATACATCTAAACGAAACTAAGGCTTCTTGTCTCCAAGTCAGTTTCTGATCTCGCAACTCAAGCTATTCGCCTTTTTGCAGCTACAAAGTGAGAAGTTAGTTATTTTTATACTCAAGAGCACGTAGCTCATTAAGAAACTGCCACTAAACTCTTTTTCTTTTTCTTTACATTTTCGTCTTACAATAATCTCGAATTCGGCTTATAACTTCCTGCTGAGAAACCTCCTTACAACGAACGAGAAACAACAATCCCAGTGAAACAAACGACATTTTTGAAGTATGAGGACCCACCCCTAAATTATGCAGCCTGTTGAGCTATACCGAACTGATTCCTTAGATAAGATTTTCAGCTCTTGGCTTTGAGGTACACTTTGTTGTTTCATAAGTCGGTTGTTTGTTAGCATACAGCGCTACTGTAGCTACCTGCGGAGACAGACACAGAACAACACCCACACCACAACACACAAGCCGAACTTCCACAACACAAAGAAAGACTCAGAAAAAGTGTTTTCGTCTCTCTTTTCACATTTCATTGAAAAATTGAGGTATATTATCCAAAACAATAGCAAGGTTTAAATTTTGCCGAGATATTCAAAACCAAAGCGAGTGTACATTCGTTTGACTATAACGCTAAAACCTTGGTTTCTAATCGAACAATAATCCAATGTGATGGTTTGGCTAGGTTTCTCTATTATTATCCGATGGTGTGCCTTGCTTTATCATTCTTCTCTCTCCTATAATACTGTCCTTTGGTACCTCTGTCCTGGTGTGCCAAACATAGACCTGACAAGGAATGAAACACATTCAGTATTTTTAACTTTGACTTCAACTTCCTCAAGTATAAAGGAAAATAGGTAAAAATAGGAAAGCGTATTGCGCAGTTAATCATAACATTACAATTTCCACAAATTTTATTAACTGCTTTATTTTTAACCAATTATTGTGTAGGGCAGTAATCGGACAGTTACAACAGCCAATCATGATCCACCAATCGCAGACGTTATCACAATAACCATAACAACAACCACCTGCCCTATCAAACTGGGGATTTTCTAAAATGGACGAATTTGTAACATAGACAGTGTCCCTGCCAGTGATATTTTCCCTAAGTTTGGACATTAATTGGTATTAAAGCTCTTTCACAAAAAAGAATGCATTTGTTTTCTCGGACTTGTAATGGTTAAGATTAATTGGTAACAGGACTGCCTGTCATCCAATTCGGTCTGTAACAAATAGGACTCCCGCTACGCGGTCGTTACCCTGGGTGCCAGAGACTTTTCATGCGCGGTTTCCGAAGGCCAAAGACATGTCGGCCTGCGGCCGCCGAAGCTCCCCGTCACACGCGAGAAAAAATCTCTGGTACCCAGGGTACGTGGTCGTCCGATTTTGTCAATCACTCGTGCGATTACAAACTGAATTGCACTCCACTCGGTCTTATTACCATTATAAATTATTTTAGAGTGTCAACTTGATTCACTTATTTATTTATTATTATTATTTACCAACTATTATGTACTAACTTTGTTTACCTTGCTACAGTTTGGCGTAACAGGTTCCAGTTCATCGATTGTTGTTATTTGAGTCAACAAAGAAGACTCCAACATTCCCGCTTTTTCAGGAGAGAGAAACTCAGCTTTCGGGAAATCTATTAAAAGCTTCTTGATATTTATTGCAAAAGCCGCCATGTCGATAGGGAATGGACGAAACAAACCCCACTTCGCGTGGAAACCAATGACCTGTCCATCTTTACATACGGGACCTGCCCAACGGACAGCTCCAGTAAAGGCTACAGGCCAAACACCAACACCTTTGATCCAGCGCATCTAAGAATAAAAAACAAGTTATGTGACCGCTGGACACAAAGCAAAACAGCAGCAACAATAAACTTGCAATCTTCCTTCATCTTCATGATTGGGGCGGTCATTAACCTTGTTACAAAAGGCATAAAAAAGAGCAGACAGGTAAAGTTCTTATTGTTTTGTGGAAAAAAGCTGTGACTGTGAAGTTTTTTTGCTTTGACACTGTAACGAGTCCGAATTATTTTTGTATTAAACAAAGAGAGAAATTCTGGGTATTTCTTGTGAAAGTTATGCGAGGTGGCCGAGATTTTCTTGAGCGACCTCAAATTTTCCCCTGCGTGGCAGGCAATGCATTCCGGATAAGTAGCAATTTTTCAATCCTAGCATCATGCAGGATGTTCCGTGTGCACGTTTAATAGTCTTAGGCCCATCAGTCTCCTGTAACTCTATAGGTAAGTCGGTATGTAGGTATAAATCTGAACTAGTAACTGACTCGTACCCAATCAGCTTCTCTATATTAGCCCTACATGTGATTAATGGCTTAATGAATTCGCGGTGTATCAAGGGAAGGAAGGAAGGGAGTAAAACTGGCGAAACACTTTTTCTCCCTCCTTCCCAAGCATTTTTGCGCGCTTTAAGTTTCCTTTGCGTATTCCTTTTCCAGGACAAATAAGTGGCGACTGAGTGCGAGTCTGGACTAGTAACAAGTACGATCATATAGGGGAAGAGTATATAACCTATTCAGTCAACAAACCTCATCAAAGATGCGGCTATCATACGTATTATCATCATCCGCAAAATATACCACACCAGGGGTCCTGTGAGGATCAATGTTGTTTCTTATCCACTGAATTCCAATGTTCCTCTGTACCACCCCACGTGGCTTGGACCGTCGCTTTTCGTTTTTTTGTCTTCGAAGAGTATCTGGGGTCCTTACATTTAGACGCGTATATTTCAAACGTGAATTCCGCAGAAAATTAGCTACTAAGTTTGTTTTATCCCCAGAATCTTCCACTACAATCCAGTGTAAGTTCTTGACAGACTTAAAAGCTTGTGATAGTCGTGTTAATTCAGCCTTTTGCACAAAACGTTTGAACGTCGGCGTGACAACAAAGATAGTAGGTAAGTCAAAATTTTCTTGTGTGTTGTGTGTAAGTTTTAACCGATCTTTAAGTACATTATTTGCCAGCAGTTCTTGAGATAACCGTATCAGATTGTTTTTTAAATCTTCTTCGTTTTTTGTTGCTTTGATCAATTTCTCCACGAACATCTCTTCTTTTTCTTTCATTCGTCGTAGTTCTTCCTCTAAAGCTTTCATCGCTGGAAAGATGCTTGCTGAGTTGGTGAATTGTTCCTGGATCCAAGGTTCTGATTCTGTAATAAATAGAGCGAAAACAAGGCTTTTGGCGTTTTAGGATAAATTACATTTACAGAGAACAAGTTTAGTTTCTGTTGCCTTTACCAAAAATAGCTCATAACGATGATTCAGGGAAACTTTATCAGGCGGCAAATTCCATCAGTTCAATGGCGCTGAGGAATATTGTTTAAAAATCAACAACTGTATATTAGGAATATGAACACAGAGTAAACGAAATACGAATAAATAAGTATGGACAAGAAGCTTTTTTAAGAAGGGAAGTATTTCGGTGGAGTGTCCCACAACTTGCCGGGGCGGCCACAGAAAGGGCTCTTATTTACTGTACGGTTAACGGTTATTAGTAAAATCCAACTAGTGGTCTATTATCAACGCTGCGTCCTGAATGGTTGAGCTACTACTAGACTATATGTCATAGCCCACTAGTAGCGTAAAGCGCGGGCTTTTTGGCGGCAAAAAAGGATTAAAGTCTAGCTTTGACTAGCTAAAATTTTTTTATTCTCGATATTTTTGACCAACTAATTGGATTTTACTAAAACTATTGACTCAGAGCCCATTACCGGAAAGGTAAAATACTTTCCGGAAAGGGTAAAGATTAATCCCTTTCTTTCATTCCTTCGCTATCTCTCCTACGCATGCGCAATGTTGGCGACCAGTGAGCCCGCGAGAATTTCTAGTTTCATTGGTAAATGTCTTATGGCAGTACCGGGGGCACCACTCCAATATAGCGCCCGGTACTGCCCGGTAACACCGCGGCAAAACGCAATGCGCATGAGCACAAAATTTAATATCCGGTCAGCTTTTTATTTCCGGTCTAGTATATAAACCAATAGCGTAAGCATGACTTTGCCGTCGCGCCAAGTTTAAAAGCAAAAAGGGCGAAACAGACAAAAAAGGGGGCCAAAAAAATCATTTCATTCGAATGCTTATATATTTTTCTATTCTCAAACTTTTGCACCACATGGTTATCTGTTTGCACCAACGGTGAAAATCATGTTTCAACTTTGCAGGTCGCGAGCGCTCGACAAGACGAATTTGTTTTGACTGGCTTTCTTGCATGCTACTGGTTTGGCATAAGTTAATTTGGAAGAAGGCGACAACTGAGAAAAGAATAACGACACTTATGAAAGAAAACAAACTAAAGACGTCATCATTATCATTAACACTAAAACCAGGAAATAAAATTTTACTCCGTTTAATAATTTTTTTATTATCAGAGAAAACAAGAACTCAAAACAAGAGATGGGCGGGATTTAATAACAACTTCGACTTTGATGACTGCAGTCACGAACACCCGGAGTTTTCATTGCTGGGAAACTAAACATGCCTATAAATGACTTTCATTCAAGAAAATGCCTATTTAATTCTTTTACATGGTTGTTCTTCTTCAATAATTTCAGACTGTGCGGCTCGGCTGCATCTCATGGAAACACGAAACTTCCAGCTGCTAAATACATGGCATGAAAAGTTTGACTTCTAAAAGCCATCGAACCAGCTTTCGCCCTCTGATTCTGAGAATGAAAAAAATTAATAGAGTTGTCAACTTCCTGCCAACGTCAACAGTATAATTAAGCTTATTTTTCATGGCAATCAACTCAGAAGAGTTTCTTTTCAAAACACGGTAAAACTCACTGGCAAATCGTTTTCAAAATAAAGCTCGAATTGGCTTTAAGACATGAAGACTAAGAAACTGAAGAACTGAAAATTAGAACTACAATACACAAGCTTGCAATGAAAACATTTTATGTCTCAGTTTCAGCCAGGTTAAGTGAAAAATAACAGTCAAAAACTTTGTTTTCGTGAATTAAAATCAGTTTAAATGACGCTCTAGCCAAAATTACACACTGAGTTATTATCATCTTACCTTTTCTGAATCTAATCGACTAATTGTTTCAGTGATCTGTGCCTGGTTATCCAAAAAAGCAATTTCAATAACTACAAAATAGTTAAAAACACCAGCAGCATGAAGCAGAACAACTGAACCACAAGCTGCACACAGAATTGAAGCCGAGAGCGCGCGGGAGACTTTGATCTGACTGGAAAGTGTTACTGAAAAAGAGACCGGAAATGCTCAACCTAGCGCATGCGTAGACGTTTTGCCGCGGTGTTCTGCCCGGTACTGTCCGGTACTTGTTTCGTGTACCTATGATCCACGGATTTATGACATCACATCCGGTTGCAAAGTTGCTGCTCTGTTTTCGCGCGAAGCACCAAGATGGACGCCTGATGCCATTTGGTTTTCTCGTTATTTTAACCCACAGGCTAACGGAATTATGTATCTTGAATGCCGAGAATCTTGAGAAGGTATCTAGCCGGCCTTTCAAGCAAATTTTATGACCAAACAAAGAAGTCTTAGTATTATTTTAACGATAAATATCATGGAGCTGCGGGGAATGTCATGGCGAGTCTTGAGATGTTTTAAAACGAGTGTCGTTAACGTTTTGCGGCTTTTGCGGCCTCTGATTTAGAGAAGGCATCAAACAAAATATAATTTCCTGAGCGAAAAAGAATGGAAAAAACGCTGATGGCCACAGTTTAAAGTGTTCACCGCTGGAAGGCTGTATCACGCCCCGTAAAGTTGCAAAAACTTGTACTCAACTGCATGGTTTTGAGGGATGTCATGGCGAGTCTTTTGCTCTTTGTAATCGAGCGTCACTCAAGAGTTTGGCTTTTGCGGCTTCTGATTCATCGAAGTCCTCAATCAAAATTGCCTATCCTGAGCGGAATGGATTGGGCAAAACGCCGGTGGTCATAGTTTAAAGTGTTAACTGCTTGAAGGCGTTATCACGGGACGTAAAGTTGCTGAAAGCTCTACCCAACTGTCCTGTCATGGCGAGTCTTTCGCTGTTTCAAAACGAGTGTCCGCTCAAATGGTTGGCTGTCGTAGCTTCTGATTTACCGAGATTGCCAAACAAAATAGCCTATCCTGAGTGGAATAGAATGGAGAAAAAGCTGATGGTCACAGTTTAAAGTGTTGATCGCTGGAAGGCTTTATCACTCGTCGTAAAGTTGCTCAAAGCTCTTCTCGACTGTACGGTTTGAGCCAGTTGACGTAAAGTTGCTGAAAGCTCTACACAACTGATTTCGAAACGGTCACATGTTGCGAGCTTCTGGAAGGTTAGTGTTAGATTTTTAGCATTTAAAGATTTTTTACCCTTTGAAGATTTATGTTTAGAACAGGAGTTAAGCCCAAAAGTAGTCAAATTTGTCATTATCTGAGAGAAATCAAGAAAGTTTGTGCCCTTCCTTTTTTTCTAAGCTTGCAAGTGTAACATATATGAAAAGAAACCCTTATGCACTACTAGTCATATTGTTAAAATGACTAGTTTGAAATTACTCCTTATCTTAACTGATAACTACAACACTTATTTAAAAATGTATCGCTCCCGAACATGTGTTGATTGGTTCTTGACCTTTAAAGCTAGAAAAAAAAAATACTATGACTTACAGTGATTATAGTTATGTAATTAATTAGTAAAGTTAAAAAAGAGTGAAATTTATTAAGTGAAAAAACAAACTGCTGGTTTAACTGTTTTAGAGGTTTGAAGTTCTGGAGGGATCACTAGAGGTGTAATATGAGACTCAATAAGAGGTCTAGTTACTTTAGAACACGTTGGAAGAAATGTAGAAGTTTTTCCTGCAGCAAAACACATATTTTGGCTTGGTAATTATTACTTTTATTTCTTGATGTAAATTGCATTTTGTGAATTCTTAATAAGTTTGAGTTAGGGTCATTCATAATGCTGTACTGCACCTTATTTTATTTGACGATTATCTAAGGTATAAAAAATGAATTTTGTGTATTTTTAAAGACTTGAATATAAGCTTACTTTTGAATTTATAAACAATATATATTTAAAACCGACACTGTAGGTCTGGTTGTCAGTGTAGCCTGTGTTGCAGAGATAATCTATTGCCAGTTAGTAACATCTGCAAAGCCGTGCCAATATTCTGGGCTCCCAATCCCAATTTGTTTCGCTATTCCCTTCAATAATGGTATTTTTAACAGGCCAATCATAGCACATATGCAAGTGCTCGTTTACAGTTGGGCCAGGGGGTGCCCACAACCAGGATCTCAGTGCTGTCTCACAGGGGGACTCAACCAGAAGTTTAGTTCTGTCTGTGGCACAGGCTAGTCCTCTGGGCATTAATGTTTAAATTATGTATTTTATTTTGCTTAGCTGGGAAGACAAAAATAGATGACAGAAGAGCACAAACAAGAGAATATCAAGAAGTATTAAAAAAGTATATCTACCACACAACTCGTAAAGAGAGATAAAAGTCAATGAGGACAAAAATGTTGTTAATAAATGTTGAGTACAACTCACTGTCAAATATTAAAGTTGAAAGGAAGGAAGAATGCTGACATTTCAAGGAGTACACTTTTCTGGTTCACAGAAAATCTGCAGCAACAGAAGACACTGAAATCATGTTGAGCTGGTTCAGGATGTCAATTCTGTTTCGATGGAATCCTCTGACAGTGTCTAGGCCAGTGTACAGTAGCGTGCTTCGAAGCTGGTCCTTGGTAAGACATTTCCTGACTTAACATGCCAACTTTCTTTCAAGGACCTCAAGGATAAGTGTCTGTTTCCCTGACATTCACGTGCACTTTCTTGTCAGGGATCAGCAATATTTAACTAGACAACTGTGTTAACTGCAGTTTTTTTGGTAAGACTTAAACAACTTCACAGGAAAGACTGAAACTAATGATCTTGCACTAGGAAGCTTTGAAGAAATCAAGGTTTCTAAGGGGGGAGGGGGTGTGTAGCACTGTCTGCTGCACATATTTCCCTCGGAGATAAGAAGGCAAACACCCTAGATGCAACTATAGGAAACCAAACTAAGCTTGAATTTCATAGAGAGTATTCACTCACGTGGCTTGCATCTATGCAAATTTATTGGAAGAAAAGGAATCATTTGCATAAGAAAAGAGTTCAACTCCCACCGGATTAGTTTGGGACACCAACATGGCTGCCGTGACGTCATGTGCATACTCT